GAGAGAGAGAGAGAGAGATCTAGTTATCAGTTATAATGAAACAATATAAACTCATTTATCTGGATATAAATGCATTTCACTATCCATGTAAACCCACATTGCATACATAATTGTTGTACCGGAAACTATAAGGCCTTTACAAAAAAGTACCTTACATGCCCCATAAATAGGTCACATCCAAGTAAACCCACATTTCATTATAAATAGATTCCACCATCCATAAATCAGTCTTTTACATGATTCAAAAAATAGATCCTTTACATGACCCCAAAATAGATCCTTTATATGCCCCCATAATTAAGTCCTTTAGAAGGCCCTATAAATAGGTCATTTACATGCCCCATAAATAGGTCATGTACATAGCCCAAAAAATATATGATTATTCAATATTCATATAACCCTGAAAGTCAATTATAAAAAGGTTATTTACATATCTCCAAATTTCCAAAAATTAGTCAATACAAAAATTCCATTATGCATTTGTGCAAATGAAGCCCTACAAGTTGCCATATCATCCATGCGAATGCAGTCTCGTAATTTGTCATATCCTCAGAGTAATTGCAGCCCTTTCGTTTGTTATGGCCTCAACTCGATTCATGGTCCTCAGTGGTTTTGTAAGAGAAAGGTGTATTGTCAATCCAATGCATAAAGCAAAAGATAAATGAAAACTAAAACGAAATAAAGACAGTTATGTTTAGTATGTCTGAAACATAAGCAAACAAGCACTTACATCCCATGCGCCGTCACCGGAAAATTACGCTTGTGATGCCACTCTTATTGCAAACTATACACTTTCTTCTAGTGAGTGGCCTTTCCTCCGACTGTGTTTTTTTTGTAGAAGCCTTTTGCCCTTTCTCCCATGAAGGTTTTCTGCTTTTAGTCCTTGGTCGTCCAACTACTCGTGTACATGGTGGATCAAATACAAAAGGGGAAGCATCAACTGATCTAATGTTGCCGCATACTTCATCTTCAGGAACACTGCAATGAGTGGAGGGTGACGGTGCAAGAATATTCAATAATGCTCTCTTGATTCATTGACATCCTCAGCTAACTTGCATAAAACTTCACTTTATCAAATAGATCATCACTTTCTAATTCTGGTTCTACAATTATTCTCACAAAGTCATAAAGCTCATGATGTCGAATGAACCTCAGAAATTTAGATAAGTCAAACTACAACCACAACATTTGTCTTTGACCACCTTTTTTGCCTCTGGGATCTTCAATACATTTCTCATGTTGAACACTTTAAGTGAACAAGGGATTCCAACACGCTCAAAAACCTGACATGTGCATATACACTTTATCCCTAATTCAATAAATGTAACCATTTGAGGGATAAAAACACCATGAATGTCTTCCACCTTATAATTGACAAATTCATCATTGCCTTCTATTAATTTGCTAAGGCAATTTGAGGACATTACCATCTCTTCTTGCAACTTTTCAAAAACTTTATGAGTGTATATCTTTGTTTTATGCTCCTCGATATGAAATACAGTCTTTAAAACAAGTGTGGATATAATATCTTTAATGTCTTTCTTTTTTTCTTTGATGAACTTCTTGTTTTGTAACTTTTCAATAGCATTCATGAATTTTGTCAAACCTATTCTAGAAGTGACATATATCTTTAAATGACGATTGAACTCTTCACTTTGTTGTGTGGTTTTCATGCCAGCCGTGAACCTACCAAACTATGTATGCATCAACTCATTGAGTGCGACAACCATATAACCACTTTAGCCAACTTTCGTCTTGAAGATCATATTTCTAAATCATAGCTAAACAATCAGCCTCATGTTGGTCAACTATGTGGGCTACAATACACTTTTTTAATACCTCTAAGAATAATGGGTATGCACGCTCAACATGGCTTAGATGTGTTTTAAACTTTCCCATGATATGTCACTTGTAATAGTAATGATTAGTATTCGGGAAAACTGTCTTAACTGTAGCCATTATAGCTAAATCCTGATTAGTGATAATTGTACCTGGTCGGCGGTCTCCCATTGCCTCTAGCCAATACTCAAATAACCAAATGAAGGTTTCTGTAGTTTCATTGAAAATAAGAGCACATTCGAGGAAAATTGTGTTAGTGTGATGATTAACTCCAAGGATTGGGCCAAAGGGCAAACTGAATTCATTCGTTTGGTACGTGGTGTCAAAGGTTACCACGTCACTAAAAAATTGGTATGATAATATAGACTTTGAAGCAACCCATATAACACTAATCAGCCTCCCCACCTCATTAAGTTGAAATCTATAAAAGAATGAAGGGTCTAATTCTTTCTTCGCATGAAACCAACTCATAACAACGATACCCTCTTTCCCTTTAAGTTGTTTTGTTTTTCTAATTATACAATTTTCAAGGTCTTTCTCAATGAAATGGACATTTTCTGCCCCACTGACCTCTTCTATAAAGTAATCCATCATAACCCTAGACTTAGCAATAGAAGACTCCAATGTGTCAATCACCTTTTTCATTGTGTTTGGTATCTTTCGATGAGAACAAATGAATCTAGTCTTGTTGGGCGTTATGAGAATATGATTATATTCTTTTACGAACTTCGCAATAAGCCATCTCTACTTCTCATTCTTCTTAATGTAGATCTTTGCCTAACATCCACATTTTGTATGGGGCCGAGCATTTCACTCCCGCTATACATTTGACTACGAAAACCTTGCCTACAATATTTATAATCTGACCAATTTTTCCACCACGTTCCAAATGGTTCTTCCCTTTTTTATACCAAACCCCACCAGTTTTGCATACTTATTATAATAATCATCAGCTCCATCTTCGCTAATAAATGTCATTCCTACTGTGGGTTTGATACTTACACCTCTTGTTAGGGCTGCCTCTGCATCTATAAGTATAGGATCGTCTTCTCCATCTATTGCAAGTATATCCTCATCAAACGGAGAATCATGATAAGCTTCATCTACCATAACTTGAGCACCACACTCATGCCCATTTTTTTAACTAGTAATGTCGACAGGCGAGGAAGGATACGTTGATGTTGAGGCGTCCATGACACATGTATAGTATACCTGTTCGGTTTATATGGTCAACCATGAGAAGTAAGTAGGAGAACATATAAAAATATGACAAAAGAATCATACTTTAAAAAAAAAAAAAGACGATATCAAGAATACCCATAAAAAATTGCCTTCTAATGTACATTGAAATCATAATTACAAGTTCAAAGGAAAAAAAGACAACATTGCAAAGATTTTCAACAAAAAGTCTAAAAATGAACAATTTCATACCCCTCAAATAAAAAACGAAAGTAAAAATCTAAAAGAAAAAAAAAACTGAATTCTATTTGAAGAGGAACGTAATAGTATTAATGATAGTAATAACAATATCAACCTAGAAAATTTAGCTTAATTAACAACAACTCCATGATAGATGGAGGATTTACCCCAAAAAAAATTTCCTTCATAGATTCTATAAATGAAAAATATCAAATACAAATACTCCAATTTTTTGTGTTGAAAAAATTAATCTTCCCATTGTATGGTTTAAAAAATACACATCAAAGATTGTGTTGGCTACATTTTCAAAGATTGTGTTGAAAGATTGCATTGAAAAATACAGTGGGCAGATTAATACAAATACACATGAAAGATGTAGCCACACAACCTTATCACGAATACACACCAATTTTGGATTTGGTTTTATAAAATTAGGTGATTTCTTCTCCCATTTTTGGTGATTTATTAGGAAAAAATGTAGGGTTTTATTGAAAATCGTCCATTTGGGATCTACTAAAAAAATTCAAGTTGGCATTTTTAAAAAAATAGGTTTTATTCTTGATTTGGAGTTGGAGTTTATTCAAAGATTGTGGCTTTGTTCGAGCAAAGAAAATCATACAAATGAGGATACAATCTAGAGGTCACTCACCCGATTGATGCTGAAGAACTTTGCTTGGTGTGAGTGGCGTATGTTGCTGCCAGAAGCTTCGTTTAGAAAGGAGAGGGTGACCGAGAGGAGAGCGCAAAGAGGAGAGCAGGCAATAGAGATGCGAGCTTTGTAAAGCAGAAGAGATGACGAACGAGAGAGAGGCGACCTTTTGCAGAACAGAGAGGGCGAGCGAAAGAAAGAGATACTCACTCACGGAAGGGAGGGCACTGATTGAAAATATGTTAGGTTTGAAGGTTTTTGAGGCCATCACAGCTTTTCATTTATTTCAATTTAAATGGATGGTGGACAAGGGGTAGGGAAAATCACCGTTCCAATTAACCTATAGGTGTTGGGAAGCCTTTTC